CTTCCTTCTCCCCCTCCTTCTCCTTCTCCTCCTCCTCCTTCTCCTCCTGATCCTCCTCCTCCTTCTCCTCCTTATCCTCCTCCTCCTCCTCCTCCTTCCCCTCCTCCTCCTTATCCTCCTTATCCTCCTTATCCTCCTTATCCTCCTCCACCTCCTCCTCCTCCTTTTCCCCCCCCCTCTTTCCCTCTCCTCCTCCCTCCTCTCTCCTTGTCTTGCCCGTTCCCCTCCCCGCCGCGTGCCTCCCGCCCGCCCAGGGCCGCCAGAGAACCTGGGCATGTGCCGTGGTCGACGTGCCCAACGGCGGCCTCGTCGGCCTCTGCCGCGAGACTTCGCGCCAGCGGCAGCAGCATCTCGGATGCCATCCAGTCGCCCGACCAGCTGCACGCGAGCTTCAGCGACAGCGCCGATGCACCAGGAGGGGGACGGGGAGACACTGCTCGGGAAGGACGTGCAGGAGTGGACGCAGAAAGGGGGGCAAGCATTTCATGCGGCGGCAGAAGAACTCCTCCGTCGCTGCTCACCGAGGGCTCCTGCGGGGGACGGGCAGGCCGGCCAGGACTAGGGAACAGGAGCTTGGAGATTGGAGGCATTGGAGAGAAGTCATGCAGTGTGAAAATATGTCATTTCTCGGCGGCCCCCAAGGTTCACGCGGTTCCGCCACAGCTCCTCTTCTCCTCCCTCCTCTCCGCGGCGACCTGTCGGACACGATTTGGTTGGGACCGCCCAGCGTACGTCCATTCCTCCTCTGTTCCTCCTTGGGCGTACGCACGGCAACGTGCTACGACCCTTCTCCCGTTTCCAGAGCAGCGTAACGTAGAAGATTTGTCCAGTTTGAGCGCATCGGATATAAACAGCTAAGTGTTTATTTCCTGCCAGCGGGTGCGTTACCGCAACCGCTTACCGCAACCGTTTTGGCTCAAGCACCGGATCGCTATTGCAGCGATGGAACAAGCAACAATCACCATCTTTCAGTTTAGAGGACTGGGTGGGGGGTGGGGGACGGGATCTACGCACCCATGATTAACACCCGTGCTCACGCCGCATGGTAAGTAGCGGCGGGCTTCCCGATGGTCAGTCAGATCGCAGCGGACGGCCCGTGTCTGCTTGAGCCAATGAGTCGCAATGGCTCGTTGCGAGAAAGAGAGAGAGAGAGAGAGAGAGATATATATATATATATATATATATATAAAAGAACAAAAAAATCAGGCCAGTAGACGCCATACCCGATATGATCCTTGGGTGGACTACGGGCGCCACCGCAAACGCGCCCGCGCGAGCGTGGACCCGCACCTCCGGGTGCGCCTCGGTCTGCCAGTGCGCCCAGACCTCCAAAATCCATTCCTGGTCAACTTCGACCAGGTGTGGGACTACCCGAGGAAGACCGCAGATAGCGAGGATTTGATATCAGAGCTTAGCGAGGGCGAGAGCTGGACACATTAGTTTTCAGAATGCGGCTCATTGCGGCATGTTCCAAATAGTTGGCTGCAAGAGCAGATCCACTTGGGACGGTCTTCCGCCGTCTTGGGACCCGCCTCAGGCCCTCTGGCAGGCCGATCGGGCTGGTGGGAAGCCGTCCGAAAACGTCAGAAAGGCGCCTGAAGTTCTCATGGAGGCCAGCTTGGGCCCCTCCGACGCCGTAGACCACTAGCGCAGATGAGTCAATGTCGTTGGCCTCCCAGCAGCGCGCTGTAGGAAACGAGAGCCTCCTGCTTCGTGAGGAGTACGAAGCTGCATCAAGAGGCTCCAAACAGATCCTTGCACTCAGGCCTTGGAGAGGAACTTATAAATTATGACTGCTGCGATTCGCTGTCACTGGTCTCGGGATCTACTTGTTCCTAGCTGCTGCTGCGACTCGCCGTCGCCGGTCCCAGGGCGCGCCTTACCTGGGCCATTGCGACTCGCCGTCGCGAGTCCCAGATCACAGATGTCCTGGCTGTCGCGATTCGCCGTCGCCAATGCTGGGTCCCGCTTGCCTTGACTGTTGCGATTCGCCGTCGCTGGTCCCAGGTACCGCTTGCCGTAGCGTTTGCGATTCGACGTCGCTGGTCCTGGATCCCGCAAGCTTTGGCTAGCTCGACGCGCCGCCGCCAGTCCCAAGTCTTGGCTGCCTTAGGTGCTGCGACTCGCCGCTGTTGGCCCCCTGTCCCGCTTGTCCTGGCCGGTGCGAGTCGCCGTCGTTGATCCCAGGCCCCGCTGCAACATCGACTGCACCACACGCGAGCGGCACGCATGCCAAGGATCATGCCATTACGCGTGTGGAGGGGGGCGCAACCAGGCATGGCGGAGGCTCCTGGCCGCTGCCAGCATTGGAGATGCTTGCGAGAGCCGCGACGTGGCGGCGAGAGCTCGGGCCAGACGAAAGGGGGGGATTGGGAATGGGGGGGGTACGAAATCTGCTGCATGCAGCTGGTCTCGGCCCCACCGAGGGACCCACTCCTCGATACATGGCCGCCTCTGGCGCCGGGAGGCGCCGGGAAAATCAGCTACGTGAGCTGAGTCTCAAACCCAGATCCCCGACGTCGTGATTTTTTCACAACGTCGACCCCCAGAGGTCTGGACCCCTTCCCCGGGACCGGCCTGCCATCCTGAGTCGTTTTTTGACGGTCCCGAGGCCCGGTAAGGGCCACCGGGGGCCGAAAATAGAGAAAGACCTCTTGTCGCGATTTTGTCGCAACGCGAGGGGGTCTGGGAACCTCCCCTTCTGCTATCCCCCCTTTCGCCCGCCCAGAGAGCGCAGCAGGCGATGGGCCTGCCAGCGCCCCTGGCGCGCGGGAGCGTTACCGGAGCGCCCGCTCGAAAGACCTCTGGGTGTCCGCGCTGGGCCCGCGCGCAGGCCCGGCATCCCACAAAGCCCTCGGCCGAATAAAATATGACAACGAAAAATGCGGAAAATAGTAGTAATAATAATACTAATCATAATCATAAGGGAAGGCTTTTTGGGGCCTGGGGGTCGGGGGAAGAACACCCAGACAGGTTGGCCTCGTTAAAAAAAAATCTGGACGGGAGGTTTTTCGCTATTTTCGGCCCCCGGGGGCCCTCGCCGCGCCTCGAGACCGTCCAAAAAAACGGCTCAGGACGAAGAACCGGTCCCGGGGAAAGGGTCGGGACTTCTGGGGGTCGGAGGAAGAAAAGGTACCCATACCCCGTATCCTTTATCCGATCCCCATGCCCATCCCCATCCCCTTCGAGACCCCCCACCAGATTCCCACCCAAGTTGGGGATACACCCCCCGAAGCCCGAAGGGGAAGACCTATATGTCCCCATCTAGGTGGGCAAATCGGCCAGTGGGGCCCAGGCCCTGCCGCTGGGGATGGGGATTGGATAAACGATACTCACACACACCCTATTCGTCCCTCGCTTTCCCCCTGATGGGGCCTCCTGGGAGGCCCTCGTCGCCACCGCTGGATGCGCCTCGAACTTCTGGTCCGAACGCACCCCGGGAGAGGTCTAGGCAGTAGCGGTATCGGTACCTTTTGGTTTCCCCAGAGAAGGGGCGCCGCACGGTCGGACTAGTGGTCGGTCGGCCAGTCGGCATACCTAATGCGAGAGGGGCCCAGGGGAGACGCGCGAGGGTGCGGCCAGCGGGCGGAGAGGCGCTGGGAACGTCCAGTGCCCAATGGGCGGGGGGGGGAGGCGCGCCTGGAGGGGTTGCCAGTCGGTCGGACGGCCGTCGCAGTAGTGCAAGGGGGGCTCCCTGGGCTTGGGCGGGGGACGCCGAGGACGGGCGCCGCCGCGTGGTCGGACGGCCCCGGGGCGACGCCGGCAGGGACGCAGTGGCATGCACCTCTCCGGCCCTCCCGCGCTGGCCTGCATGGTCTGAGTGGGCCCCGTCCTCTTCTGCTCGTCCTCTTGCGCCTTCGCCTCGTGCTCAACTTCGCCTCCGGTGCATCCCACCGCTCGCCTTGGCCAGCGCCTGACAGTCTCGCGCACCCTTGCGCCCGCGGGCTTAAGAAGTGTGGGGGGGGGGGGGGCGGCGCCCAGGGACCGCCGCACGCTCCGAACAATGTTGGAATTCGGGTGGCCCTGTGCCCCTGGACATGCTCATGTGCATATTACTGTAAGAGGAAGAAGGCGGGCGGAGGAGAAGAAGGAGGGGGAGGAGGCGGAGGAGGAGGAGGAGGAGGAGGAGGAGGAGGAGGAGGAGAGGAGGAGGGGAGGAGGAGGAGGAGGAAGGAGGGGGAGGAGGAGGGGAGGAGGAGGAGGAGGAGGAGAGGAGGCGGAGGAGGGAGGAGGGGGAGGAACGGAGGAGGAGGAGGAGGAGGAGGAGGAGGAGGAGGAGGAGGAGGAGGAGGAGGAGGAGGGGGAGATCCGAAGCCATTGCGGCTCAAGGCATCCCGACTCAACCGCCCGCTCCCCGACGCTTCCGACACTCTTGCTCCCCGACACCTTCGACATTACCTCGCAGCTGCCGCCATGGCTGCCAGGTCGCCCCCCCCCATTGCTTGGGATGCCAGCCTACGTCTGCGGCCACCAGGCCGTCGAGTTCGCCCTCGACCACAACCACCTGTTCATCTCGCTCTCGCTCGAGGCGAAGATGATGTTGAAGCCCACTTTCATCGAGCTGGGCGACGACGGGCGCCAGGGCTCGCTCAGTTCTCGGCCCTCCAGCAAGCCCTGCCGCGAGTCGTCTGTCTGCGGCAGCGCGTTCTTCGACTCCGACCGCATGCGCACTGCTGCGCTGTCGAAGCGCATGGAAGAGGCCTGGGCCTCGGCCTGGGCCTCGAACAGCAGGAAGGCGATGAGGAAGAGCCTCGAAAACCGGCGCATGTCTGCAGCAGTGGATGCCATCCATTTCCTACCTGAGCAGGTGAGCAGCGTTGTACAGACCAAGGCCCAGAGCTTTGCCGACTGCATGAAGATCCAATTGTCACTAGTGCAGAACGCCATCCGCCTCAGAGGCAGAGACGACGACGTCGTCGATGTGGTCATCGATCAGCTGGACAAGATCCCTGAGATCATCAGGAGCTCCTTCGAGTCGCAGATAGTGGAGGCGAACGAGGCGATAAAGATGTAACTGAGCGCCATCATGAAGAAGTTCAAGAGCCTTGCCTGTGAGAGTCAAGAATTCTTTACGCTTCGCGTATCCCCACCAGGGGGACGCGTTTTGGGTATACGACGGTCCCGTCCCTCGGGTGCTACCCTACACGCTTATGGGTGGCGCTGAGACACTTTGGATGTGCACTTTCAGCTACGTGTTCCTACCGTGTGGTTTTGTGCACGCTGCTGCGCCCTTACCAGTCGCTGGACCAAGGGCTCAGGCGCATCTCAGTTGTGGAAGGTTCTCTCTGGCTACTCTGTTTCCACACCCTGGATGCGTGTTCTGACGTCGCGATGGTCCGCATCCGCCGTCAGGGTTTCCCCGCTGGACTGTGTCACCAGTCAGTTTGTGCTACCCGTCAGACTCCCTGGATTGACGTCTTCGGGACCGTTTCCTATTTGTTCGTATCCGAACTGTTGGGAACGCCTTACGCGCCATTTTGGCTGCGCTCTGCTTCCTCGGTGCCTGTGTTCAGACTCCCTGGATGCGCCGTTGCATGTTCCTTTCAGGGGCTGCCCTGCAGACTCCCTGGATTGCACGCCTTGGCCCAGACGCCCTGGGTTGCTGCTGCCTGCCGCCTGACCGCGGCCTCGCGCGCGCCCGCTTCCTAGTCGCCCACCTACGCTTTTCCTTCCTCCCGTATTCACCCGATTTGCGGCTATCGGCTGCCCTCCCCCCCCTCCTCCACGCACGCTGTGGTGCTGAACATCCGACGACAGGTGGCCTTGCTCTGGTGGCGTTTCCCCCCCACCAGACAGGCGCCTTCCCTCTGGCTACATTCTACGCCGTGTTGGGTCCTCGACTGCCTGCGTCACCACACGGCTCTCTTCCTCCTCCTCTGGTTTCCACTGATTGCGGCTATCGGCTGCGCCCCCCCCTCTTCCTTCACGTCGTCTGCGGTGGCGGGCCATTCGACCACCACTTGCGGGTGGCCCTGGTAAGGCACTCTCCTGCACAAGTGGTTCATCCTTTGGCGGGCTCAGCCTTTCCTCGACGGGCCCGTCCCGCTGCGCGACGCCGACGACCTTCCCCCCTGACTCGCCCCGGGCAACGCTCTGTTGGGTCCTCGGCAGTCAGTGTCGCCTGGCCCCCTTTCCGACCTCGCCATGTTGGGTCCTCACGTCAATTCCTCTGGTGCCTAATTCAGTGGAACCCGCTTCGAGCGCTCCGTGAGTGAGACTCGAACACGTGAGGTGTTCTGTGAGTGAGGCCTGGTTTCCTCCCCCCTCCCCTCGTCGCCGCCCGCTCCTCTCCTCCCTTCGCCCCCTCCCCCCCTCCCTCGTCGTGTTGAGCTGGCGCCGTCTCGGCGACTCCTCACATTCTCGACGCTAAGATGCGTCTCCCTGAAGGCGACGACTTGTATTGGGGCTGGTCGGGTTACGCTTTGCACCGGCCCATGAATATATTTTGTCGTGTTGAGCTGGCGCCGTCTCGGCGACTCCTCGCATTCTCGACGCTAAGATGCGTCTCCCTGAATTTAGTTCATTCTGTTCTGTGCATGTGCAGCTGCGAGCTTGCTTGCATCGCAAATTATCTGGCTCTGTGCCCCAGTCAGCCCGATGGACACGCCCTCTGGACTCTTCCTTGCGGGCCGCGGATCAAACAAAAAACAAAACAAAAACAAAAAAAACTCGACGCCTGCGCTTTCGCTTGCGCCCGCGGGGAAAAAAGTGTCCCCACCAGCGGTTCCCTTCTTTCTGCCGTTTTTCTTTTCTTCGCGCTCTTTCTCGCTTTTGTTCCTTCATCGTTTCGCCCCCTCTCGCTTTGCTCACGGCGCCGCGTAGCCGGTTCGACGTAGCTGCCCATCGCTTGTCTGCCTGATTCTACAGGCTTACGCCACATCCGCCGACCCCTTCTGTGAGTGTTGCGAGGCCAGGAGTTTCTGGCCAGCGGCGTCTTGTGTGAGGGTGCGGTGTCGCGCGCGGGTGGTGGCAGATACGTAGGGGGTCCAAATGTTTGCGTGATGCCGGTGGTCTGGGGCGTGTTTTGCGTGCGCTTTGCGTGCTGTGCACCCGGGTGCGGGGTGTCCTTCTGGGAGGTCGGCCTTTCGACCCGCAACCAAGTGGAGGAGCACTGGAAGACGAAAGGAGCAAGAGTAGTGTGTGGAAGCTGTGATCAGCGAAGCATCACAGCGAAAGATGTGGCAGATGAATCGAAACGGGTGAAGAGGCTGTTGACGTTCGCAGCGCGCACGAAACAGTTCGCGCGGCAGCAGCACATTAGCGCCGAGCAAGATAGTGAGCACGTCGCGAGGAAGAGTAAGGTTGTATGCGCGGAGTGCATTGCAGTTGGCGTGACGGCTCGCAATACGGAAGCGTCTGGGGGTCTTTTGGGGGCCTCCTGGGGGCCTCTTGTGGGCTCCTTGGGGCGTCTTGGCGGTTTCTTGAGGGCCGTTGGCGGCCTGTTGGGGCGCTCTTGGGGCCCCCTGGGGCTCGTGGGGGCGGAAAGCTAGATTTTTGAATTGTTGGTTGCCCTCTTGGGCCCCTCTTGGTGCCGTCTTGGAGCCTTCTTGGGCCGTTTTGGGGACCTCTTGGGCCGTCTTGGGGCCATATTGGACCGTCGCGGGGCCGTCTTGGGGGCCTCTTGGGCCGTCTTGGGGCGGTTTTCGGGGCCTCTTGGGCCGTCTAGGAGCGTCGGAAAACCCAGAAGGCGGATGTGTGAACATTGTACGTTTCACGACGGGAATACGTACATGTCTGCGTCCAGGGACCGTCTTGGGACGCATCTTGGGGGCCTCTCAGGGGCGTGTTGGGCCATCTGGAGGCCATTTCGGGTGTCTTCGATCGCTTTTGGACCGTGTGGGACCATGTTGAGCTCTCTTGGAAGCCACTTGGAGCGCTCTTGGGGCCGTCATCGGGGCTATCTTGGGCCGTCTTCGGCGCCGCTTGAGCCGTCTCAGCGCCTTGTTGGGCTGTCTTGGGGCCCTCTTGGGGGCTTCTTGGCCCCAAGACGGCGGCCTCTTGGGCCGTCTGGGAGCGTCGGAAAGCCCGAAAGGCGAATTTGTGAAAAAAACGCACGCTTTACGAAGGGAACGGGCTAATTTGTGCGTCTAGAGGCCCTCTTGGGACGCATCTTGGATGCCTCTTGGGGCCTCTTGGGGGCATCTTGGGCCGTCAGGAGGCCATCTTCGGTGTCTTTGATCGCTTTTGGGCTGTCTGGGACCATATTGAGCTCTCTTGGAGGCCACTTGGGGCGCTCCTGGAGCGCTCTTGGGGCCCTTTTCGGGGCCCTGTTGGGCCGTCTTGGACGCTTGTTGGGCCGTCTTGGGGCCCTCTTGGGCTATCTTGGGACCCTCTTGGGGGTTTCTTGGGCCGTTTTGGGGCGGTCTTCGGGGCCTCTTGGGCCGTCTTGGAGCGTCGGAAAGCCCAGAAAGCGAATTTGTGAATGGGAATGGGCCAATTTTTGCGTCTAGGGACCCTCTTGGGGCGCATCTTGGAGGCCTCTTGGGGCCTCGTGGGGACCTCTTGGGCCGTCTTGGAGGCCTCTAGGCTCGTCTTGGGGCCATCTTGGGCGTGTGGGAGCGCTCGTTTGGCGTCTCGGGGCCCTCGTGGGCCGTCTTGGAGGCCTCTTGGAGCCTTCTGGGCCCGTCTTGGTCCCCTTTTGGGCCCAAAATAGCCCCGTGACGCGCTCGTGCTGGGCCCGGGGGGGGGGGGTCAAATCTCCGGTTTGGGGTCCCTGGGGGGGGGGGGGATTATGGGGGGGGAACTATCTCACACGCCTAGAGACCCACAAGGGGTCGGCGGACTTTGTGACGCCGCTTGGGTGTCCGCTCGCGGTCGCGATCAAAAGTATCCCCACCAGCCCATACAGAAACGATGCCCAGGCGAGTTGCCTCGCAGAGTCTCCTCGGATGTCTCTTGGAAGCCTTGTGAAAGCCTCTCGGAGCGTTTTCGGGGCCTCTTGGCGGTCCCGGGGGCCTCTAGGAGCGTCTCGGGTACTTCGGAGAGCCTCGGAGAGCCTCTTGGGGGTCTCTTGGGATTCTCTTGGAGGCTTCTTGGGCGCCTCTTGGGGCCTCCTGGGCCCTGGGCGCCTCTTGGGGCCCTCTTGGGGCGCTCTAGGGAGCCTTGGGGGCGCTGTTGGGGCCATCTTGGAGGAGATCGATCAATGAGGAAGGGGGGCTTAATTAGGGTCCCCCCTCGGGAGCCCCAAAAATCGCCTCTTGGGGCGCCTTGGGAGCGCTCTTGGACGCTCTTGGGGCCGTCTTGGAGCTCTCTTGGGCCTCTCTTGGGCTATCTTGGAGCCATCTTGGGACCTCAGAAGGCCAACGAAAGCGAAAAAGGCGATATGGCAAAGCTCATTGATTCTCCTCAAGTGTTTGAAGGATTTGCGCTTTTTGGCGACCTCCTGGGGAGGCTCCGTGGCCATTTGGAGCCGTCTCGGAGGGGTCTTGGGGTCTCATGGAGCATCCTGGGAGCCATCTTGAGGCATCTTGGGCCATCTTGAGCCACCTTGGAGGCCATCCTGGGCTCTCGGAAGCGCTGTTGGAGCCGTCGTTGGCCATTGTGTCGCTCCGATCCCTCGCTGACCCCCGCGTCCAGGTCCAGGTCCAGGGGAGAGGGTTCGGGGCAGGGGCAAACCCCTCCCCGAACGGGAAGACGAGGGTTGGAAGAGGAGCCGCCCTAGACCGCCTACGCCCAGAGGGCTGGAGGGATTGGTCACGCAGCTGTGGACCATCCCAGAGGAGCTCGTGCTCGACGAGCACGAGCTCCTCTGGGGCTCCTATGGGCTCCTGTGGGCTCTTATGGGCTCCTATGGGCTCCTATGGGCTCTTGTGGGCTCCTACTGGCTCCTATGGGATGGGCCCCTACTGGTTTCCATGGGATCCGATTGGCTCTATATTGGTTTCTCCGGGGCCCGTCAATTGCGCCGCTCTGCTAAATATGTCATATCGACCTGTGAACGAATGTGTTTCTCACAATGTTCACCAGATGCAATCGCGACATTGTGATATTGGTGCGATACTGTCATCTATTATAGGGCTCTGAGGGGGAAGGGGGCCAGCTTACTTTATCCTCTAGAGCTCCCTACAAAGAGTGATGCCACGCCAATGGATATCTACACACGTATAGTTTTCTCGTGTCCTTAAGCGTCCGTTTTCTCATCTTTTTTGGTCGCTGACAAACAATAAGGTTTCCGCCAGCCTGAAGAAGGCCAGAAAAGGCGCATCATTATGCCTGGCTATGTTGTTATGCATTTCCACACGTGGTTGTTCCAACCCCAGACCCGCGGAGCCCGTGGAAAACAAGTCTCCCCACTGGAAACCACCCGATGGAACCTCCCCAGTGCTCGTCACCGGGGAGGCGGTTGACCAGGCCGTGCAGGAGTTCAAGCGGGAGGCAGCCGGCTGTTACGACCACACCTTGCGGAGCCTGCCAGAGGACGCGGGCTTCGGCCGCCAGGCGCTGAAGGACGCCAAGGCTCAGCTCGTTGAGCTGGCGGCAGAGATGTGCTCCGAGACGATGCGGGCCTTGAGGAGAGTGGCCAACGCTAACATCAAACACGCCGTTGCCTGCGTGGAGGACCCCAACGAAGTGCCTGTCATGGACCACTTTGTCGCTGACGAGCTTCTTGGGGCGAAGATGGGCACCCTGCCGCAGACGGACGGCGCGTCTGCGAGCCAGTCCGGCCATTGCGCGGCCAGCATGCTGGACTGCGACAAGGACGGCGGCGCCGACGGCAGTCTGGCGAACCACTGCGGTCGGTGTCAGGTCAGACTCGACCCCGGCTCCGAGTGTGTCCACCACTCCAATCCTGGGAGTCTGGGCCACCCCGAGATGTGCGTCTGGCCGTGCCAGCACTTTTCGCGTGGCCAGTGCACCAGCGGCGACGGGTGCAGATTTTGCCACTGCCCGCACCCGACTCGGGCTGCGCATCTCGGCACTCGGCACAGGAGAACCTGGGAGGCGATGACAACGGCCCGAGTGCTTAGGCATCTTGCTGCCCATCCTCGAGAGGAAGATGATCACGTTGGGCCTGGCCACAGACGCGCTCCCCTTACTGGCTGGCCAGCAGTGCGCTGGGCCAGGCGGGGCCCCCGTCGACGCTGGCAGCCGGGGCAAGTATCGGGAGCTGCGGACGTTGGAGCAGGCTGTCGGGACCCTGTGCATGCGGTCGCTGCTGGTGGCGCTGCAAAAGAAGCTGAAGGCGCAGAGTTCGCGCGAAAGGGCCCTGCTGGACGCGCTGATTCTGGAGGTGCGCGAGGCGGGCTTCCTCATTGACATCTGGGAGGGGGTCCAGAAGGACGCTTGAGTTCGGCCACCTCCTCCTTATCTTCCTCCTGCTCCCAGCAGCGCTGGGTGAGACAACCCCAGCAGGCCTGGAGCTAGGCGAAAAGCGCGGACGCGCAGTGCCAAGCCAAGGGCCCAGACTTCGTGAAGCGGTAGGAGTGAGCCCAAGCACCGAGACGTCACGGGCCCCGTTTCTGAGAGCTAGCGTGCGCTCAGGTCGTGAGCGCATCAGCGCGACCAAGGGTCCCAAGATCGAAATATCGCCCCTGCACAGCCGGTCCTGGAGGCTTCAAATATCGCCCCTGGACAGCCCCAGAGGCCCCCTTTCCCCTCCTGGCCCTTCCTGCTCCATCTGCGGTGGCAGCGGCTGTGCCCCACCCAGGCCCGCAGCTGCCCCCAATTGCTCTCTCTGGCCCACTCGCCTAAGCGCAGGGTCTGCCAGTGGCCTCCAGCAGGAGCGCCGCTCCCGTTGCTCCCGATCTTGCCCCATGCCTCTGGTCAGGAGGGGGAAAAACACACAGGCACAAATATGGGAACACAATGGGAAGCGGGGAGGGGAGACGAAGACCCAGAAGATCTGGGAAAATATGGGAAATCCTGTTATTTGTGTGTATTTATTTGTGTGTCCCTGGGCCCCTTGCCTCTGCCTCCAGTTCGGCACGACCTCGTAGCCGAATTTTCAACAGGCCGCCCCCTTGGGCCCCGGTGCGTGCCGTGGCGGACCTTTTTTTCCGCCTGTTGGCGCCCTCCCCCCGCCGCAGGGTGCCTCGCCGAACGTGGCGGACCGAGCGTGGAGCTCAACAAAAAAACACCTCCGGCCGAAGGGCCGCAGAGCGGCGCCGTGCGCGAGACGGCTTCGCACGACCTCGCAGTTCGGCACGACCTCGCAGCTGGCGCAGGGGCGACAACAAAATGGAGGTGTTTGCGTGCCAGTGGATCTGTTTTTGCGGAGTTGGGCGCCCTGGCGCGGACGGCCGAACGACCCTTGCAGCGGGACACCCTGGCCACACGGTCGCCGCCGCAAAAACTGCTTGTTCAAGGCTGGCGCCGCGCAAAGGAGGTCGGCCACGACGGCTTCGTCGTGGCCTCTGCCTCCAGTGCGGCACGGCCTCGCAGCCGAAGGGCCGCAGAGCGGCGCCGTGCGCGAGGCGGCCTGGCTCCGCGCGCCTGCGCGGGCAGGGGGCCCGCCGCGCCCTCCTCGCGGAGCGGGGCCAGGCGTCGATTCCCAAGAGGGTAGATGGGAGATCTGGGGGGTGGGGGGGAGGGGAACTCCTCCCTCGACCTCGTCTCCTCCTCATTCTCCTCCACCTCTTCCTCCTCCTCCTCCTCCTCTCCTCCTCCTCTCCTCCTCCCCCTCCCTTCGTCCTCGTCCTCCTCCTCCTCCTCCTCCTCTCTCCTCTCCTCCTCCTCCTCCTCCTCCTCCTCCTCCTCCCCTCCTCCTCCTCCTCCCTCCTCCTTCCTGGTCATCGGCCTCGTCCTCGTCCTCTTCCCTCCTCCTCCTCCTCCTCCTCCTCCTCCTCCTCCTCCTCCGCTCCTCCTCTTCCTCCTCCTCCTCCTCCCCTCCTCCTCCTCCTCCTCTTTTTTCCCCCCCTCCTCCGCCCTCCTCCTCCACCTTCCCTCCTCCCATCCTCCTCATTCTCATCCTGGTCCTCCTCTTCTATCGCTCCTCCGTCCTCCTCCTCTCCTCCTCCTCCTCCGCCTCCTCCTCCTCCTCCTTCCTCTTCCTCCTCCTTTCCTCCTCCCTTGCCCCTCCTCTTCCTCCTCCTCCTTCCCTCCTCCCCCCCTCCTCCTCCTCCTCCTCCTCCTCCTCCTCCTCCTCCTCCTCCTCCTCCTCCTCCTCCTCCTCCTCCTCCTCCTCCTCCTCCGCGTTTTCATCCTCCCCCTCCCCTTTCCCTCCCGAGAAGGGCGGTTGGAAGAGGAAACGCTCTAAACCACCCACGCCCGAAGTGGCTGGTGGGATTCGTGGCCGAACCAGGCGTCCGCGATAGTTATACCTATGTAGATCCTACGCATCAGGGCTACCGACTCGGCCCTACCGCACCGACTGGACGTCGTCGGGCGAAGGCCCTGCCTGTCTGACAAGAGACTGGAAGTCGTCGGGCTCGGTTCTACCCCAGCGACTGGAAGTCGTTGGGCTCGGTCCTGCCCCAGCGACTGGAAGCCGCCGTTATTTGTCATGGTCACCCGCGAGTTTTGACATCACGATATAGTACAACGGCCTCGCAGGTTTTCAGCCTCGCGAAGTCGACCGTGCTTTCTCGGGCGTTTTGTGTGAGGCTGGTGTTCTCTCTTCGGTGACGAATGCCGCACTTCCCGTTGGCCGAACATTCGCAGCCTGCCTGGCGGTCGCGTCAGGTCTCCTGACCGATTTGCAGAGCTTTCAGGCAGGCCCAGGCGGTGAGCGGTTCTCTTCTTCTTTCGTAGAGCAGTGCGGCCCACAAAGTTGGTGTTCTTGGCTGTGCTCTGGAGATCCACGTGTGGATGTGTCTGGAGAAGGTTGCTGCAAACGTCTTTTGTCGAGCTGCGGCTGCGGATGCATAGTAGTGCAACAATTGTTTGTAGCGCATGCCGTGGGAGCGCCACGCCTTGAGCGAGAGCAGAACCCCTACCACGGTATATACCGGACGCGTCTCCGATGCCGCCGGGAAGATCGGGGGCCCCCAAACGGAGTGGTGACCACACCGTGTGGTGAGTCGGTGGGGATTCGGGGTCACCGCGCGGCTTTAGGACTCGGGTCGTTCTCCGAGGACGTCTCGGGCGACTGGGGCATCCGAGGTCCCAAAACCGTGCGTTGACGGACCGTGCGGTGAGGGTTTGGGGGATTTCCAGGTCACCGCCGGTCTGTCACCGCACCGTTTCGGGACTCCAAAGAAGAAATGGAGAGACCCGGGGGGGGCGGTTGCGTCGTGCGGTCGGACGGTCGGCCGGTGTCGGACGGCGGCCTCACGTCGGGGCTGCGCTTGGAGGCGGGCGCTCCCACCAGGGCTCCTCCTCCTCGTCCTCGTCCCCCCTCCTCCTCGTCCTCCTCCTTCTCCTCCTCCTCCTCCTCCTCCTCCTCCTAGTCCTCCTCCTCCTCCTCCTCCTTCTCCTAGTCCTCCTCCTTCTTCTCCTCCTCCTCCTCCTCCTCCTCCTCCTCCTCCTCCCCCTCCTCCTCCTCCTCCTCATCATCATCATCCTCCTCCCCACTCCTCCTCCTCCTCCTCCTCCTCCTCCTCCTCCTCCTCCTCCTCCTCCCTCCTCCTCCTCCCCTCCTCCTTCTCCTCCTCCTCCTCCTCCTTCTCCTTCTCCTCCTCCTCCTCCCGCTTCTCCTCCTCCTCCTCCGCCTCCTCCTCCTCCTCCTCCCCTCCTCCTCCTCTCCTCCTCTTCTAGTCCTCCTCCCAGTCCAGTCATATCCTCCCCTCCTCCTCCCCTCCTCCTCCTCCTCCTCCCCTCCTCCTCCTCCTCCTCCTCCGCCTCCTCCTCCTCCTCCTCCTCCTCCTCCTCCTCCTCCTCCTCCTCCCACTCCTTCACCTCCTCCTCCCCTCTCCTCCCTCCTTCCTCCTCCTCTCCTCCTCCTCCTCCTCCTCCTACCTCCTCCTCCTCCTCCTCCTCCTCCCCTCCTTCTCCTCCTCCTTCTCCTCTCCTTCTCCTCCTCCCCCTCCTCCTCCTCCTCCTCGTCCTTCTCCTCCTCCTCCTTCTCCTCCTCCTCCTCCTTCTCCTCCTCCTCCTCCTTCTCCTTCTCCTCCCTCCTCCTCCGCCTCCTCCTCCTCCTCCTCCTCCTCCTCCTCCTCCTCCTCCTCCTCCTCCTCCTCCTCCTTCTCCTCCTCCTGGAGGGCAGCTCCCAGGACACACGCAAGGCACTCACCAAGGCTCGCTGGGCGCTGGGGCGGGGAGGGGGAGGGGCCGCCACCGTGCTGTCGCTCGAGACGCGCTCCGGGGCAGCATCCAGGACGCCGCCAGGGCACGTCCAGGGTGCGCTGCAGGACGCTTTCGGGACGCCATCCACCAGGACACGTCGAGGACGTCTTCCAGGACATGTTCAAGACAATCTGCTGGACAATCTCGAGGAAGGGCTGCTAGGCCGGGGGCTGACACACTCTCCTGGACAGTGACGTTCTCGAGTGGGGTCGCCGGACCAGGGGCGGCGCCGGACGGTCAGGCGCTGGTCGGAACAACGCAGTGCAAGATCACACCAGAAGGCATATGGTCATAGATTGCACCCCATACGGAGATGGCGCCGCAATGCTGACACTACGGTGGGGGCGTTCGGTAAAGAGTGTGCCCAAGAGGCTGTACAGACCCTGGGGGATTCCTCATCCAATGGGGGCGGCGGTGATATCCATGGCCGATCCCACGATTGAAGTTCTACTGGCTTCCAGACCCTGGACGCCTGATACAAGGGTTCCTTGCCCAATGCCCCCGCCGTAGTGCGTCCCTCCTTCTCCTCCTCCTCCTCCTCCTCCTCCTCCTCCTCCTCCTCCTCCTCCTCCTCCTCCTCCTCCTCCTCCTCCTCCTCCTCCTCCTCCTCCTCCTCCTCCTCCTCCTCCTCCTCCTCCCGCCCGCCACCAGGGGTTGGCCCGTGCGTGGTGCTGCTGCCACGCGATCACATGATATATCTGCTGTACCTGTTCAGTGTTTCCTTGTACTGTTCTCTGGCTGTGCCTTTCTAGTTTGCTCCCGCGAGGGTGTCGGTGCGGGTGTCGTCCTTTATGTTCGGCCTACGCACGCGCGGGTTCGTTTTCTGTCTCTGCCTCCTTCCTCTTGTTCTCGTCCTCCTCCTCCTCCGCCTCTGCCCCACCCCCCTCAGGCAAATGCAACAAAGAGGTTGCATGTGAGTCGCAAATTATTCCTCATCTGTAGTGCCACCCGTGCGCTGCTGTTCCCTGCTTTGAAATGGGGTCCAGGGGCATGGAGTGCTCGGCATGGTGCAACAAGGAGGTTGCATTTGAGACGCGTTGTATTCCTCATATGTAGTGCCACCCAGGTTCTGTTGCTCCCTGCTTTAAAAGGGGTCCAGTGGCATGGTGTGCTCGGTATGGTGCAACAAAGAGGTTGCATTTGAGACGCGTCTTTTTCCTCATCTGTGGTGCCATTTGCTTTGGGGAAAGAAAAAATCCTCCTCCTACTCCTCCTCCTCATCCTCCTCCTCCTCCGCATCTCTCGTGCGTGGCGAGCTCGCTGTCTGGGCTCCCCGCCGGGGCCTTTTTTGTGCAGGGAGGGGGTACAGAGAGAGAGAGAGAGAAAGAAAGAAAGCGCATTGGCGCGGAGCGCGGTGGGGGGCGTCCCTGCGCGTGGATCCCCGTCAGAGGTGTACAAGCCGCGCGCCTCCAGAGGGAGGAGGACGAGGAGGAGGAGGAGGAAAAAGAGGAGGAGGAGGAGGAGGAGGAGGAGGAGGAGGGCAGTCCGTCTGCAAACTGCATCAAGCCGCCAAGTTTGATGCAGTTTTCGCCGTCGTCGGCGACGATCACCTATCGAGGTGTTCGGGACAAGTCTTGGGCGGCTTGGGGCGGAGGTGATGCATTGCTTTCGCAGGTGGCGGTAGATCTGCGTATTATTGGGACGAAGGGCAAAGTCGTGCGACTCTTGTGTCGTTGCACTCTTGGTGAAGAGCTGACCTTGTGTCGGATGCGGGAACCACGGAGGGAGGTGTCACCACGAGTTCCTGCGCCTTGCAACGTTGGTTCGTGACCGGCTACACCGCGGCAGCAGCCAGACGCACGTGCACGGGGACCCGGGATCTACGTCAGGCTTGCGGCAGCTCGGATCAGTGCGAATCTCCTCTCAGAGATTGTGTTGTTGTGCCAGGTTGTGACGAAGTGCCGTGGCAGATAGGTCCGCGGCGATACGTTTCAGACGCGGCACGTCTTTCTCACAGGTTGACAGGGATCGAGTGCATCAGGGTGACACGTGGACACGGAAGCCTCGCAGCAGAAAGTTGTTGCGAAGTCGCCAAAGCACACCGCGGAAATCAGAATGTGCGTGGCGAGTATCTTGGCGCATCTTTCGTTTTCTTGCCTTACTTGTGCGTCTCTGGCCTTGTGCGCCTCTGTGCCCCCCCCTGTGTTGCCGCGTTTTCTGCTCAGCCAACTCGGCAGTCCATCATGATCGGGACACCCCATAGGCGTCGTCAATTGGGATCTCGCATTTCCCCGTCCAATTATGAGGCTCGATTGCCGAAAGATGCTCCACTCTTGTTATATCTTGTTATCCAGGCATGCTTGGAACGATGTTTGGTTTGAAGTGTGGATGCATGTGTAGCACAGGCATATCAGGTCTGGTGGCAAGATAACTTAGCTATCCTATATGTCACCCATTGATGGGGAGGTGCCGGCGTGCGCTTCGTTCGTGGAGGCAGTGGGTCACAACGGCTTGGCGCATTCGACGGGTTCACGCCCGCGTGGAAGGGAGGGTGATCGGACCTCCCATGCACAGACAGTGCGTTTTCTTCTGGCTCGCTACGTGCGCTCGCTTGTTCGCTTGTATACCTGGGGGTGGTCGGACGTTGTGGCCACGTTTGGTCTGCGGCAGTATACAACTCAGTGTGGGTTGCAAGCGAAAGGGCACGGTTCACACAGCTTCGATCTGCATGTGCGCCTGAATCAGATCAAAGTCATGTTGGACCGCATTTCGGATGATGTTGATGCTTCATACACGGGCAGCTTACTCAGGACCTCGCCAGCCCCCAATACATAGTCGGCGTGTCCTTGATTCATCGCTCAGTGTTCAGCCGCATGTATGGCTTGCGCGTCCTCCTTTTATTGGCGAGCATCTGATTGAAAGACAGACCATTCCGAGAATCCAGATTTGAGCGTGTAGAAATGTACGCGTTCGGCTCGGGAAGGGAGGCGCAATGCCTGGAAGGCATGGCACCTCACAGGCTTTACGGAGCCAAGGGTCCGAACGATGCCTCCATCCAGGTCATGTGTATGCAACCTTGTGGCCTCTGACAATACACTGTTCAAACTACCATGCCAAGAATGTCCACCACATGCTTGCACATCTGTTCATGCACGTCCAGCTCCGTCCAGCTCTGCTTGTATCGCCATCGCACTTTGGGCTGGCCGTCTTCCGTACGTCGCCTGTTGGGACAACAATGTTAGGAAGATGGTGATGATCGTGGAGCCGTCCTGAGGTGTTCAGGCCATCTATGGAGTCGTGAGGCCGTGTTGGTCCGAATTGGAGCGGTTTGAGGGCTATGTTGATTTGTATTGGCGCAGTGCTTAGGTGTTGTTGGGGCCATAGCGAACCCTTGCAGAAGGGGGGTTACGGCAATCGCGGGCGGGGGGACGAAGGGCGATGAGGGACGTTCGGATTAGCGTTCCCAGGGCTTTCGCCATGTCTAGTTGCTTGCGACAAAACCCGCCACCGTTCCTGTGCAACAGCGTAGCAGGAAGGAGGTCGGGTGTAGGAACAGCGCAGCTCTTACGAGTGGTCTGATGTGGGACGGGTCGTGAATTCGATCTCGTCTTCGTCCGTGCGGTAGGAAGGAGGTCGAGTTCACGCTTCGCGGCAGTTCAGCGAGTGGTTTGTACTGGGGAGGGTCGTGATCTCGACTTCGTCCTCGTCTGCGCGATTGGGAGGAGGAGGAGGAGGAGGAGAAAGAAGAAGAAGAAGAAGAAGAGGAGGATGAGGAGAAAGAGGAGGAGGAGAGGGAGAAAGTGAGGACTGTCTTCCTGAGGCAACCTGGAAGCCTCCTGATGGCCTCTTATGGGCCTCTTGGGGGCCTCCTGGGGCCTCTTGGGGGCTTCTTGGATTAGGGGACTCTTGGCCCGTCTGACGCCTTTGGAGGCCGTCTTGGGGGC